TTTGGTAAAATGATCTACTATCACGAATATAGAGTCATAAGAACCTGAGATTGGAAGATCCGTGATGAAGTCTATAGAAACAGAAGACCATGGTTGTTTTGGAATGGGTAATGGCTGAAGAAGTCCAAAAGGTCGATGACGAGGAGTTTTCGATCTTGAGCAAACATCACATGATTGTACAAAATCTTTAACTGCTTTCCACATTTGAGGCCACCAAAAATCCCTAGATCTCAACTCCAAAGTCTTGTTATATCCAAAATGTCCTGCTGCTGGGAAGTCGTGACGAGCTTGAAGAACACGTAAACATGCTTCTCCTTTTGGAACATATAGGCGTCCTTCGAAATAGAGTAGGTTGTTCTTGAATTCAAATTTAGATAGATCATGAGATTTAGAAGAATTGTTCTTGATATCACGAACAAGAGGGTCTGAAGACATACTTAACTGGACTTGCTTAAGAAAAGTTAAATCAACAGTCAATGTTGATTTTATTGCTTGAAGATGAAATTGCTCTGGCTTCAAGAGAACCATTCTTTGTTGCTCAAAAGCTGCATCTCTTTCTTTTGGTGCAAGATAAGAACGTCTAGACAAGGCATCGGATAAACCTTGTTATTTTTCTGGCCGATAAGTGATGATGAACTCGAATCTTGATAAAGACATGCTCCAACGAGCTTGGCGACGATTTAATATGCATGCTGACATAAAATATTCGAGGTTCTTGTGATCCGTATACACGGTGACTGGATTAGAAGCGCCTTCTAGATAATGACGCCATTCTTGAAAAGAATCCACAATTGCAAGAAATTCTTTGTCGTGGATCTCATAATTAATTTCTGCTGTTGAGAATTTTCTTGAATGAAAGGCTACTGGATGAAGTTTGTCATCTGTTTCCATTTGTGATAAAATCGCACCCAGAGCAAAGTCCGAAGCATCTATTTCCATAAAGAATGCTTTCGAAAAATCAACATGATACAAGATTGGTGAAGAAACAAAAGCTGTCTTTAAAGATTCAAAAGTAACTTCCGCTTCTTGATTCCATTGGAGCTTGTCTTTACAAGTCAAATGTATAAGTGGAGCTGCAACTCGAGAGAAGTCTTTGATAAAGATCCGATAGTAGTTGGCAAATCCCAAAAAACATTGGACATCTCTTACCGTTTTTGGGATCTTCCAATCTATAATAGTTGGAACTTTCCTAGGATACATCATAGGTCTATCATTTGAAATGATGTAACCTAAGAAATCGACTTGAGTAGTGTGGAATACACACTTTTTTATCTTGGCATAGAGTCATGCATCTCTTAATTTTTGTAACACACGACGAACATGAAGTTCATGTTCTTCTGGATTCTTAGAATAGATCAAGATGTCGTCTAGATAACATACCACAAAATCGTCCAAAAACTCTTGAAAAACATCATTCATTAGATGTTGAAAAGCTGTTGGTGCATTTGTAAGTCCAAAAAGCATGACGTTGTATTCAAAATGTCCATACTTAGTTCAAATGCAGTCTTCCATTCATCTCCTTCTTTGATGCGTACTAGATTGTATGCTCCCCGAAGATCTATTTTTGTATAGATCTCAGCTTGATTCAGCTAATCAAGAAGTTTAGATATTAAAGGTAGTGGATACCTATTTTTGATGGTAATCTTGTTGAGTCCTCGATAATCAACACACATCCGCAATGATCCATCTTTTTTCTTCACAAATAGAATTGGAGCTCCTACCGGAGATTTAGAATGGCGTATGAAATTCTTGGCTAGATTTTCTTCAATATACTCCTTGAGTTCAGCCAACTCATTTTGTGATAAACTATAGATTGGTCCGAATGGCGGTTGTGCTCCTTCTTGAAGGTCAATTGAGCAATCATAGGGACGATGTTCCTGGAGTGTATCCGCATTTTTTTTTTCAAATACATCTTGAAATTCTTGATATTGGCTTGGAATGCCACTTGAAGTCTTTTCACTAGTAGAAACGGGTGTAGCATAAATAATGTATGATGATTCTTTCATAGCAGCATGCAAAAAAGCTTTTGCACCTATAAATACGGGTTTAATTGAACTGGACTTATGACTCTCTACTTGATTAATTACACTATTAGTTATACTTTTAGAGAAAGTAAGAGTTCGAGAAATCCAGTTTATTTGAAGGTTGTATTTTTCTAACCACGATAAATCTAAAATGACTTGATTAGAAAGAGATCTAATAATATTAAATACTACAAAACTATTATGATCATTGATTATTACTTCTATAGGAAGGGTTTTGTGAGTAATATCTCCAGAAGACAATGGACGACAATCTATGACTTCTACATGAACAGTTTTAGTTTTCTTTACTAAAAATATGCTATGTCTTTTAGTAAATTCTTCATCTAAAAAACACGCTGAGGCTCCTGAATCTAACAAGGCAGAGACTTTGTAATGTTTAGGTCCTAAAATAACATTTAATGTAAAACAAGAAGAGGGCTCTGAGGAGAGAATAGGACCTTTACTAGATGTTGTGCAAGGTTCCAGTCGCACGATCCCTATTGTAGCTGGACAAACTCGTTTTTCGACATATTATCTTCTTTCACAGCCATACTCCTCATTTTGTGATTGCGTCGTTTCTTTGGACAATGTTGAGCAGTGTGCTTTGGTTCTCCACAATATAAACATAATCCTTCTTGGCGACGATGAATCTTTTCTTGCTCAGTAAGAGGTTTGAAACGTACTACATCAATTTGCATATCCTCTACTTCCGAATGTATGTGTCGAAGAGGTGTTGGTCTTGCCATTGAATTATAGTGACGTTGAGGTCCACTTGTACGGTTCTCAGATCGGAATTCAAAAAGGCGATTGTCACACTTCACAGCAAAGTCAATTGCTTGACTCAATGTTTGAGGATCAGGTAAGTTGAGCATTAATTTTTTTACCTCATATTGTAATCCGTAGAGAAATTGGCTAATAAGTGTAGCATCATCCCACTTGATATCAGTTGCAAGTTGTCGAAATTGTGAAGCATATAACGTTACTGATCGATTACCTTATCGTAAAATACGGATCTTATTGGTTGCAACACGAATTGCATCATGCTCTCCATACATGGATCGAAACTCCGCCAAAAAAGCCTCTAGATTATCCAATATTGGATCTCGTCATTTAAGAAAAGATGAAAACCACGATAGTGCCGAACCTGAAAGAAGCGTACCAATGAATCTAACTTGTGATCCTGGAGTTGGATAGCTTTGGGGTTGAAGTTCAATCACCAGTTGCACTTGATTGATAAATCCTCGAAACTTGGATCTGGTGCCATCAAACTTCTCGGGTAGGATAATTCTTGGTTTTCTAACATTTGAAGGGCGTTCTACCATAGGAAAAAGGATATGGTTTGGTGCAGATGTTGAAGCAACTCCAACTATTTCTATATCTTCACTTCGTGCCAATCTTGTTACTCCTTGTGGTGGTAAATTGAGTTGATACATCGCAAGCATTAACTCCCTCAATTGCTCTTGCATTTGTGCCATTGCACTCTTCATTTCGAGAAGTTCTGCCATGATAACACTTAGAAGAGAGAGGATGTCTAATATCGCTCAAGACAAATAGAAGAGAGGACTTGAGGACAAAGAAAATGATAAGGACAATATCAGTTTAGAAGAGGGTAATCCGCAACTTCTAATATGCTTATATCTTATCAAGAAAAAGGGGTAATCGACTCTTAATCAAGATTAGACAAAGCTCTGATATTGTAGGTGTTTTCTTCTCAATCTGTCAAGAATAAGAACTCGATGAAAAAACAATTCAGACTAGTGAGCCTTCATTCAAAGAGAGGTAACAAAATATATATAAACAAGTATATATATTGAAATAGAAACTGGAATGGCTATTGCCAAAAGACAAGAAAACTAGAGACCCTTGAAACTAGACTAGAAGCAAGAAAGGAGTTGACAAGAGTGAAGAAGCCTTCACTCTTGTCTCTATATATACTATCTAACTAAGGGCTACGTGGCGACGTTCTATAGGACCTTCAATATGTGTTGACTTTGTAGGACACATGCCTTGACTTACAAGGCAAGTTTTTCTACGTGTGGGCTACATAGTTAGCTTGATCTTCACGCTAACAACATGTGTGGCATATGGCCAACTTTTTGACCACGATTCTAATCCAAAAAGTCAATTAAAGACACCTATGAAGTCAAAGCAGTGTCTAAGAAGCTTCTAAGAAGCTTTCATATTAAATATTATAGAATTAACTTACTTTTACCTATTTTTACTTACTTCTACCTATTTGTATATGTAATTATTAGCTTACATGATTATGGCCGTGACAAATAGTCATATATATATATATATATATATATATATAGCATAATTTAAAAATACATATGTATGTAGGTATTTAAAGATTTTATAAAAAAAAATATCATTCCTTATAATAATTATATGTAAAAATTGATCATCTTTAGAGGTTTGATCTATTTTAAAATCTTTATTTTAAAAAAAAAAAAACCAAAAACCAAAAACCAAATTTTGTCAAATTATTATTATTATTATTATTATTATTTTTCTTTGAATTTCAAAACTTAAAATTTGAGATTTGAGATTGAAATTGATTCTTTAAAACGTGAAGAAGTGAGTGCTATCCCATGATTTTATCCTTTAATTTAATTTAATTTCTTGCATATTAAAAATAAATGTACCGTACTTTAAGTGGTTTATCTAATCTTTGAATTTTCTGTATATATTTTTTTCTTTGTAAATAAGACTTACAGACACCTTGAATAACCAAAGTTGAAAACACAACAAAAATTTGAACGTGGGAACAAGGTTTAGCACAGTGTTGCGTTATTACCGTGATTAATGGATCTCATGACCGTCACATAAAGAGAACCTGGGTAGTCTCGGAGGTCAGAGCCACAAATCTGGTTGCTTAATTACCCGGGCTGAGAACCTGGATTTCGAAGGCTGAAAATATCCGCCTCGAAGGGGCGGGTATGAAGACATCCATCTGCCATGGCTTCACTTGAAGATGATCTCCAGTGCAGGCACAAGCTCGCAGCTCAAGCGGCCATGGCGATGGCGACGGCGATGGCCTCCACCACCTCTTCAACCATGGCACTCCACCGCACTGCGCTCGCCAACTCTGTGCTCTGCTCCTCGCTTTCAGTAGCTCCTCTGCGTTCCGCCAGTTTAGTCAATGTTTTCGGTGCCGAGGGTCTATCTTTCAGGCGTGGGAGGGAGGCTCGGAGCATTTCTTTCAAACGCTACGCTAAGTTCCAGCAGTTTAGTCAGGACGCGGCGGAAGAGATCGTTCCAGAGTTAAACGAATCTCCAGAGGCAGAACAAAATGATGCCGAGCAGTATGTGCAAACTGAATTTTGGCTTTTGTAGTTAAGTACTGCAAGGCAATAATGCCTTTACGGAATTTGTATAGCTACGAGACTTTGTTGTAACTGTTGATTGATTGAATGTTTTGTGGTGTAGCGAGTTCTGAGGTTTAGTTTCCTTTGGGCTGCTTCTCCAATTGCAATAAATCCTTAAGGCGTGAATTGTGGTTCTTGCATTCGGGAATGCGAAATTCATGCGTGGGCATTGTTTTTGTAATTTTCTGGTGTAGTGTTTGTCAATCTTTCGAAAAATATTTCTGTAGAATGGTTTCATTGTGAAGATTTTGACAAGCCTTTTGGAACAGGATATTGCCGCAAAATCTAGAGACTGCCATGATTCATGCCGGTGAATCCACTGGGCTTTACATCAATTCTGGTGGAACACGCGTGATAGTGAGAATTTCCTCAATACTCGTTACCGATCTTTACCGCATTCTTATTGGTGTCTGCATGCAGCTTTTGTTTAAAATCCTGACTTCGGTTGCTGTTGGGACTTGATAGTCGAGACTTGTGCTGAGTAATTTGAGGTTCTGTTCTTGAGTTTTCAGTTCATTTGTTTGGCTATGCAAGCAATCATGGTATAGCTTTTTGAGGGCATTTTCGTGAGCATGCACGTTGCTTTGAACACTTCCATTCGTTTGAATTTCGGAGTCAACGAAGTTTTGGGCTTGAGCTGGACAATGAAAGAAATGAAACATGAAACATGAAATACATACATATTTGCATGTATCTTGATGAGATGTACGATGGTGAGTTCCTACATTGCATCATCGGCTAACACGATAATGTTAATATTGACACAATAAATTGGACAGGCAGAATTGCTCGTACCGGAGTTGGTGAATCTAGACGAGGATGGTGCTCAACAACGAGTTTGGGATCTTTCTAGATTGTTTCTTGATACCTTGCAAGAAACTGTGGGAGAGCAGGTTTTTGTTTTCTAACTGAAGTCCTATCTGTTTTGTTGCGTTTTGTAGTTGTGTTCCTGAGTTGTTGCTTGTTTTATGAGTCTTATGAAGTTACTCCCGGAAAGTGAGGCATATATGGCGAGGAAGTAACAACATAGCCTTTTCCTTGTCCATTGCGTGGCCTTTCTCGTCGGCACTTAACAATATGATGTTTCCTTGTTTTTCTGGTACTTAGGATGGCTCACAAGGATTGAAGACGATGCCGATTTTTTAGTAGACCTTTTGTTTAACATTCTACGTATCCATCTATATGCACGTCAAATGAACAATTATATCTAGGACTAGATGTGCCATCATGAGTATTTGTAACATATTTTCTTACTGTCACTGTACAGCGTGTCAAAGCTATTTTCCCAGATGCTGGAGTAGCCGCTTTCGTGAAGTACCAATGGAAAGACGTACCCTATTCTTTTGGCAGGTTCATAGCTCATCTACTTCAAGTTGCTTAGTTTTTGAGGCGCCGTGGACCGTGGACACTGGTTTGAGAACATTTGTTTCCTGATGTGTTGCGTCTGTATTTTGTTATTGATGCGTGCAACTGTAATAACTAGTGTCTGATACTGTTATGCCATCACATTGCAGTCTGAATGATAGGAGGCCTGTTTCGAACGAAGATGAAATAGTGGTACTGATATCTCCGGATCATCAAGGATTACCTGATGTTGAACGCATCAACAGCACCCTTGCGGGGGATGATGATACTCCTGTAAGTTTGCTCGCTCGTCATGTTAGCGATCTTATGTGAATCTAATTTAACTAATTTTGTAAAAAAAGCATCCACTGAATTTACTGCCTATTTTGTACGCCAGGCTAGGGCGATGGTCATGTTGAATCCACGTCTCGTTAGTGGAGATGTTGGAGTCGGTCTCAATGTTAGGCGTATGCGTGAACGCCTTCTCAGGTGAGTTTTATAATTTCTTACAACTAGCTATGAGGAGTGGGGCTGTTGGCAAGAATGAGAATATGTACCCTGTTTCTTTTTTCCTTTTTTTCTTTTTGCAGTTCGCTTGTGGTCATTTTTACAAGGCCTGCTTTATCCAATGTTATCATAGTATATTCTGATCTTTAGTTTATACAGCAGTGGTTTAAAGCTTCGAATATTCAAAACGCTCTTGGGACTGAATTCTTAGCAAAAAACCTATAATGTCTTAGATGGAAAACACTTAAATTGAAGACTTTTTTTGTGCTCTGTCAAATAATGCATTTGTTTGTCGGAATGCAGCAAGTTTACCACAGTATATTCAGTTGCACCACGACCAGAAGCAACCATCTTTAGGCAATATCCAGGGTATGTTGTGCTTTCCCTCAACAGGAAATGGTTTCAATCGCTTCTTGAATCCGTACAAAATTGTCTCCTCTTGCTCACATACTTATCTCCCAGATCTGCTTGGACCTTAGTATTCTATCTTGTCTACTATCACATGAGCAAATTGTATTTGTTGCTCCTATGGCTCTCTGTGTTTTATATCCTGACTATGTCCTGACCCTGTGTTTGTGAACACAAAAGTAAGGTGCTGTCTTTCTCGAGATCCTTGCTTTATTTAATCTAATCATATTAGTGTACTAAATACCTCATCATTCATCATCAGGCTGTGGCAGATATTTACAGAGGATAGCAAGCAACCTGGTCGTCTGATACTGGCAAAGGAGCAACCAAGTCGACCAACCTTGGATGACATTGATGTACGAACTCTAACTAAAACCACAACGCTTTTCTCATGCTGATCCAGTCACTAAATAATCTGCTGTTGAACGTGAAAGATCGAATGGGAAAGAATGTCTGTTATTTTGAATATCCGTGCCTTTCGGTTTGTATGGTATTTGAAACCATTTTCTTCTGTGATAGTAATGCTGGACGTGACCTACCGCAAACCAGAAACTTGTATGTAACTTGAGATTCGCGTGTTGGTTTGCTGATCCAGATGTTGCTTTTAGGGGGAGGAAGTGGTGAAGATGGTGAACCAGAACCGTCAGCCTTGGCAAATGCTGTTGGCATCTTTGCCTCTTTTAACCGTTTTTTGCGTTCAATTAGTCAGTAGTCTATTTAATTCCATTTCTGTGAATCACAATCATAAAAACAGCTTGCATTTACACTTCTTTTCTCCGATCGTTTTGTGTATGTCCTCGCATTTGTGGTGGATTCTCTCATAGTACATGCTACATGCTTCAAATTGTCTTCGAGGAAACTATCAGTACAACCGAGGATGGGATCCCACTAACGTCTTCGACAAAACTTGCAGTTATCGTCTTACCAAAAAAAGTTCCGTTCTTTCTTTTACTTCATCTAATGACAGCGGTAATTTGTTTCTCTCCACTTTATTTCCACTCAACATATTACATTCATCACTTAAATTTACGTAGTTCTTTGATTGTCCATTCATTACATAGCAGTCTATTCGTGAATACATCCGATCACAACATATGTGTCAATCTTCGTCAGTCAGTTCGCATTAAAATAGAAGTCAATATCCTCTAATGCCTACAGTAAGTATTATTCACATTCATTGGTGGCATGAATTATACCAGTAACAACACAAGGACGCAAGAAAGATCGCTTGACATCTTCACCTTGTTGTGGGAAACTAGAAGTAACCAGAAAACCTCAATTCAAGTGAAAAGGAATGCTGTCGGTGAAGGTAAGGAAACACCTTTGTGAAGCAAACCATGTATGCAATTAGTATTGTCATCTATTAAGATCCCTGTCTCAATTAACCTATCTCGTCCATCCTCTATCCCATTTTTCCACACACATTACCGGCTCATGACCGACAACTATGTACCTAAAAATAGAACCTTTGATTATTCCTCGACCAGATTCTGCAACCCAGTCTTCAGTGCGTTCGTGACGTCGCATGAACGAGTTTTCTAGAACTGAAGTGGGGACGAAGATTCTAGAATCGGGCGTGACGATCGTGCGAGAATTGTACGCCCTCGCAGCCAAGACTCTCTTCGTCGCACTTCAATTCGCATTGCTGACGTTGTTTTAGATCCATCGTCGTCGTCTTCGTCGCTGCTTTGCACCATTGCCTCACTTCCTGAAGTACGTACCCACTTCGCCATCTTTTCTCTACCCTTTGGCGCTTCTCACCACCGTAAAGCTCTGTCAGGCTCACTTCCGGTTTGGAATAAGGCATGGTGGTGGTCATGATTCTTCCGTTGTGTTTCTGATAAGAATTCGAGGTCTGTTTGTGTTTGTGTTTGTGTGTGCGTTCAGTGTTTTAGTCTTAATGAGAAGTGATTTAGCTAGCGGGGGTTGCTATTCCGTGAGCATTGGAGGCGCTTGGTTGATTGTGGGTGGTGGTCCGAGGTTTTGTGATTGATCACGAGCATGTTTCGTTTTATCGTCTTGGATACATCTGTTGTCGAGCTTAGATTGTTGTTGTCCTACGTGCGAAGGTTGTTCATAGCACTTCGCTCCGGATATTGAATACGATTGGTGTTTGGGTAGTATCTTATGTCTTGTATTGACAAGTAGCTCAACCCAGAGGATGGTTTAGAGCCTGTATATGGGTTGATGGAGTCGTTCTCGATCATGCCCGCATTGCGTTCTGAGCCACTGGTGCACAATTTTAATCAGGTGGAGGTAGAAGCACCAATGTTGTTCGACAATGTGATAGGAGGGAGGCTGAAGCTGAAGGGGAAGGCGCTGGATGTGAAGGCCGGAGGAATTAAGAAGAAAAAGAAGAAGAGCAGCCACACGCAACAGCATTATGGGATTCTGACAGGGCTGGAAGACGCTGAACGACAAGCACTCAACTCATCTGAAGCAGATACTGGCTCTGACGGAGGTAACCAAAATTACGAGGATCGCGAGAGAAAAGAGAAACAGCCAAGTGCTGTTAATGACTACTTGACGCCGGCAGAAAGGAGATATCACGAGCAGAGGGCGAGAACGGAAGCCGGACGCTTAGCTAAAATCGCCAGAAAAAGCCATCGACAGAGAGTGGAAGAGTTCAATCAGTATTTAGCTAACCTAAGTGAACATTATGACATTCCTAAAGTCGGTCCTGGTTGAGACAGTAGGTATCCTTCTCGTATTCTTACTTGGAATCCTCCGGTTCTGCTCAAGGTCTGCAAAACTGTGAAGGATAGTTGTAGCAGTTTTGTATCTGATATATTATGTTGAATTCACACACGTACTCCAGAGCTTGTACTTTTGTCCTATTTAGAATCAATAGTAGATGTTGGCCTGAAGCTGACTTCGAACTTAGCACAGTTTTGCGATTGGCTGATACATAAACCTTGTCAAGATCTTTGTTGCTCCCCAAACCTCCATGCTGCTGTCCTGCCAATGTGCAGGTAGACTAGCACATAGTTAAGCATGGTTTGGAGAATGCTGTTAGGAATTCGGCTGTGCCGGTGCTAGTTGTTACCCTACATATCTTATATACTCTAATCTGTAGTGGTGCTCAATCCCTCCACTGTGCCACCGGGCAACTGTGGACGATCTCCCAAAGAAACACAGAACGAAAACGGGGCAAATTGTCTTGCTGCAAACTCAAGAGTAGAATGTGGTTTCTTGCAGATCATGGCATGCTTCAAATTGTATTATGTGTTGTTTACTTCTTTATCTACAGGCTTTATTGGGATTTTCAGAGTTGATTCTGAGGTAGTGAGCTTTGAGAGAAACCAGAGCCAACATCATTGTGAGACGCTATAAATCAGGTCGGTTTCTCACTCTCGCCTCGTGCAGCTTGGTTTCTTTTCTCAAGTCTATCCCTCAATTGCTGCATTATGATGAGCATATATGTGGGCCTTACAAGCTTTTTGCTTAGGGATAAGCTTGATTTTTGCTTACGGATCAACTTGTTTTTTGCCTCTCCCTGAGCTTATCCCTAAGCAAAAATCAAGTTGAGCTTTACACTTAATAAAAAACACTTCTTTTTTTTAGAAGGCAGAAAGAAAAGCATTCTTTCTTCCATCTTTCCTTCAGTTATGTGAACATGGTTAACTTTGTAGTCATGTCGTAGAGCCAGGATGCCTCACAGTGTGTGGAGAGCAGCACCATCTTCTTTTCTTTTTGTTTTTTTTGCTTTTTAATATATATATATATATATATATATATAAAATTCGCAACAAACTTTCACTCCACTATCCCCCTTCTCCTCCGATAGTGGCATCTCACCCGATAGTGGCAGATTCTGCAGCGAATGGTCACCGGATTTGTGACACTGGATCTTGTGGTGAGGGATGGAGGACACGAAATAACATTGATTTTGCTTTGAATATAAAAGCATTCAAAGTTGTTTAAGTAAGAAAAATAATATGGCTACAATTAGTTGAACAAGTTCACAATGGCAAAAATGAACAATGATTATGTTTGATAGGAGGTATGGAATCTGAATTATGGTTGATTACCAACATTGGTTTAACAAGACCCAAATTGGATCATATTGTTATATGATTGATGTCAATTTCAGATTTTCTCTTATATATATATATATATATATATATATATATATTTATATTCACATTTGCAGATAATAGAAAAAAATAAAGCTTTATTTTGAAGTTAAATATTAAAGATGAGGAAAAATCCACCTAAATATAGTTATTATTTGTTAGACGTTTTTGTTTTTTATTTTTAAAAAATATTGAAGGTATTGAATAACGGCATTGTTATATTTTGATGTTGCATGCAAATTATTAAATAAGAAAGAACATCAATGCAACAAAAAATGAATCAATATAATTATATAGAATGTTGTAGTCTTAAAAAAATTATCGTATTTTGAAAATTATCTTGGACATGACTTGGAATTTTTATCACAGTTATTCTTATTTAATTTTATTTAATTTTATTGTAGAATAGTCTTGCACTAATATATCTATCTATTTATTTTCTACAAGAATAGCAATAGGATAAGTTTTAGTAGCATCTACTAATGTAACATAATATTCATTAGAAATCTTTTAGAGCTTTAAGTAAGATTGATTACAGTAAATAAATAATGTTATGATATATTATATGTTGTGCATATACATATCATGTGCGACCCACATTCTGAGGTCAAAGATTAGTCCTAATACTATCACAACCTCAATAATTTGACTATTCAAATTTATATAATATCATTGTTTTAACATTAATCTTGAAGGCAATTTATTTTTTAAACGAAGATTCAAGTTTCATAACAAGTTCTTATCTACTTACCACAAATTATTTCATATATATATATATATATATATATATATATACTGTAAAATAAAAATAACCATTTAAGAAAGTGTTTTTAATATTAAAAAAAAAACTTGGAAACAATTGTTTTTATATTTAATTTGATTATTTTTAATGTAATTGAGATTTCTTTTATATCAATTCTTCCTTTCCAAAATGATTCTCTAATATGGTCATATAGCTAATGTAAGCATATTGAAAAAAAAAATTACTTTCACCTTTAAATATCTTCTTTCAAATAACTTCAAAATCAATTTAGAAATCAAACTTACAAAATATTCAATTGTATAAAACAATACACTGGTTTTTTTCACAAAAAGCCATAATTTTTTATTAATTATTTTAAACTATTTCTTTTTAATTATATTTTTTTAATCGGTATAAATTCTATTAATTTCTAAGATCCATTAATTATATATACCTTATATGAATTATGAATTTTATTATATACTTTATTTTGCAACACAGTTTGTTGCATATTTTCTTTGAAATCAATCTATAAATATTATTTCAGTAGTAGGATATAGGTTTATTTACTCCAAAGTATCAAAGATTTTTATAATATGTAACTAATTTTTTCAATAATATAAAGTTTTAAAAACTATATATATATATATATATATATATATATATATATACATACATATACATGTTGGTAATTCAAAATTCTATTTTACCTTGATTATTGTATTTTTGATTTCTAATTAATTCTAAAAATTACAAAAATATAAAATATGTCAACTATATACATCTTATTTTTATTTCTTAGTGAGTTATTTTTTTTCCTTCAAAAATAATCTATTTAGACTTGTATTTTGATATAGTTCATTAACATTTATAATTACTAACTTAGACCTATGTACTACCTTAAAGTCATATTTTTATAAAATTTAGAATTATCTTAATTTTTTTATTAATAATCTTGATGTATCAATTAAATCATATAAAATTTTAATAATAAAAAACTAAAAATTTATTGATTTAATTTCAAAATAGAAATAAATAATGATTTACATTAATAGCAAGAAATCTAATTTTTTGTAATAATTTAATATTAAATTTTATTTAAAAAATATATCACTAATAACTTTGATTATTATGTATTGATTGAAAATCTATATTTAGCTAAAATATAGAAAAAAATAATTTACATTCTTTATTTTTTAATTTTTTGAGTCAAGAATAAAGATTTTTGAAAATTTTCAAATGTAATTTATATTCTTTAAATTTTAAATCTTTGATTTTGAATATTTGAAATTTGAATTCTTTACATTCTTTATTTTTGAAAATCTTTATGTTTGAAATCTACCAATCCAACAAATCTTTTGAAAAAGTATTTAAAACCAATTTGGTGGCTTTTTATCAAAAATAATGTTGTTTTGCATACTTAAATAATTTATTTTGACTAAAAAAATTTATAATAAGACTTTACAAATATAACCATCAAATATCGTCATAAGAGATTATATTTAATAAAATCTCAAATATAATACTGAAAAAGGTTTTTGGACAAAAAACTTGCAAATATTTTGAATGGTTTTTTAAGTAATCGATGCATGTTGATAAAACTTATTGTTATTTTAAGAAAAAAATAATCACTCTTATTGATTATAAGAAATATTAAATTAATTTTTTTTATATTAGTACTAATATATGTTATTGATCTTATTACCATTAAGTTGGACATTTATCAAAGTAAAAATTGTATTAAGTAGATAAATCTCTATCAATATTATCTATTATAGAACTTAGTAGTAAAGCATAGATTTAAAATTCAATATTCTTTTGTTTTCTTACATAAATGCTCTGGTCCTTAAATATGATTTACATATATATATATATATATATATATACACACACACAAAAAGAAATAATCTTTTACAAATTATTATTTTTTGATTAATTTGCATTTTAATTTATGTAAAAAACTATAGAAGTCCAAAAATTTTAAGATTTGAAAAAAAATTGAAAACAGTAAAAGACAATCAGTGATGCTTGATTTACTAAAATAAATTCTAAATTTCAGATTTCTTTAAAAAACTTTCATGACATTAGAATTTTTCCACAAATAATTTCAGTAGATGCCAAAAAGATCTTCGTAAACATTAAATTCTGTTGATTGATAAAATTTCCATCTTAAAACTGTTGTAATAATTTTAATGTCTATTAGTGATTTTATAAATAATATTATATATAATGATATTATTGATGAATTTTCCAAATTCACAGAAATAGATCTTTTACAGCTGCGAAGTTCATATACATCAAAGACTAAATATTTGACTAAACATTTGACTCTTTAATAACAAGTTTGAATTATGAAGTAATTAAATGTAAGAAAAAAAATATCTAAATGAGAAGCTTTGATCTTTGCACGTATCATGGCAAGAAAAGCACCTCTAATCAACATTCTATAGTAATGAATTATTTAATTTATAAAAGAATGCCATATTGTTTTAATTTTTTTAAATATATAAAAATAAATAGAACTCATATCAACTTTGTAAGATACAAATTGAGAGGAGACAACAATGTCTTCATAACAAGTGAAAAGAACTCAATACTTGTTACATTTAAATAGATTATAAGTTTAGATGCTAATAAATAGATGAAACCATTTAAAATTTTAAAGTATATTTTTTCAAGTAAGATATTTTAATGGGAGAATATGACATGGTTGAAGCCATTAAAATGACATCTATTATTATAGATATTATTATAACATATAAAAATACAAAGATTAGATATATAGACATATTTTATATATCTAAGATAAAGTTTTTTTTTTTTTTTTTTTTTTTTAATCAACAAAATTGTGATAAAAAATTTAAAATTTATTTCAATGCATATGGATGATTTGTAAAAGAAAATCATATAATCAACAGAGATATGGTGGCCACAATTATACGACATTGAAACATATACAATATTATCTAAAAAAGTGAATAAAGTAGAAGTTGTGGCATTTATAATTTTTTTATTAAATTAAGATTTTTTTTAATTTTTAATTTTTTTCTCTACTATTTTATTATAAAAA